GAATATATGTATATATACCTGTATATATACATATCTATATATATATATATATACACAATCTTATATACATATATATATATATATACATATACACATGTTTGTACATGTAAGTACCCTTGTGCTGTCCTTCTCAAGAATATGCTCTCTCCAAAATATGCTATCTCCGAACAAGGGTAGGCATAGGAGCATGTTCAGCAAGAACAGGACCATCACGATCATGAAAAGCCAGAACCATGCAGCCGACCTCATCATGCCAACATCTCGCATGCCGATCCAGTCCCAATCGCCGAACATCGCCAGAAAGGAGGTGTGAAGGGCCCTGTCAAGGGTGCTGAAACTCTCCAGGTCTTGGCCGAAGAAGAGCAAGCTACTGACGACGAAGCAGAAGTAGACGCACCAGAAAATCATAAAAAAGTGGGCCAAGTCCGGGGCTGCCGTCTTCAGTGTGGCGGCCACGATGGCCAATCGTGGCTGCGCTTCAAAGGACCTAAAGATTCTGAGCATGATGATCAACGGATAGATCATCATCTGAAACTCCATATCTTTCTTGGCCTTGCTCATAACCTCGGCACTTGCAAAGACGTTTCGCGCGATCTCTTCGTAGCCCGCGTCTGGGGCAAGGCTGGCTTGGATCATGGCGGGCATCAGCTCGTTCACAGCAGACACAGCTAGCCGGCCCTGTATCCAAAAGCTGATAGTCAGCGTACCAACAAGCACCGACATCCAGTCAACGAAGTTCCAGAAACCGAGGTACTCTTGCCACAAGGATTTATAGAAGCGCTTGCTTGAGTGCCGCACTGTGTTAATGATCTCCCATATTTCGGCCACAGCTGCATAGAGCAGTGCAGCAATCCACAGTATCCCAGCGATGATCGTCAGAACCAACTCTGAGAAGGGTCGCAGAAATGGACTAACGAAGGCAGACAAGCAGTGCGTGAAGGCGTGGATGTGACCTCCACGATTCATCATAAAATTGACAGAGAGGTACGTGTAGGCTCCATACTGAGCGTTGAACAGCAGCATACTGATTTCGATGCGTGCTGTCCGTTCATCTATCCAAGGCTGACTTGGAGTTTGCTGTTTGCACCACTCACAAAGGCAACTCTCGAGGCCGTTTGAAAGGGTTGCAGAGTGGCAGCCGTCTTCCATATCCAACAACTTCCGAGTCATTTCGGTCATGCTCGATATATCAGGGAACAAAAACTCCTGGCGTTCCAGACCTTGAAAGTTTTCTGCCTCTTGAAGCTCCGGCGACAGCAAGCCCAACTCAGAGGGGAAGCAGGGCTTCTGCAGCCAGTCCCTCTGTTTCTGACTGTCCAAAAGGCTAGGGAAGATGCAGTGTTCCGATGAGGCAGCTGACACAGTCTGCCTCATCCGGACCCCGCTGACAAGCTTCGAATACTGGAGATGATCGTTGGCCACAGGCGCGGGCTTGTCGTAGCCGGCGAATAGCCAGGACTGTGGCAAGGTCGCCCTGTGGTCTTCGAAGCTAAGGTTTACTTCAAGGTACCTCTTTGAACAATGTAGCATGAGTAGATGTCTCTGAAATCAGAATAAGGAGCCGTGGAAAGTAAGTGGTTCCAGGCAAGTCCTAGACTCTAAACCCCAGTAGGCCCCAGCCTATTGTATGAGGTTCCGGCAGTCACCGGCCCACCGAGAATTTCAGGTGCAACCTCGCTGTAAAGCCACTGAGACCTGGCAATTTGCCCAGAACTCCAAGTAAGGCGCTCAGGGTTTAGGGAGAGTTTATTTAGCAAAGGTTTGGTTTAATCCCTTCACCCTAACGTCAAACCCGGGCGGGACCCTGAATAGAAATTCGACAGGCATTGCTATTGTTAGGGTGAGTTTTTCTCTACTGATGGTGCTGCTCTGCTTGTTGCTCTTGCTCCTGCTGTTGCTGGCTTTTGCTTTTGCTCTTGCTCCTAACCCCTTCAAAACAGAGGCGGGGATGATTTCGGGCATGTTTTCAGACAAGTGGCCTTTTGATGCTACGGGTTTTTTGTGTGATCAATTGGGGAAGGCATTATGAGGAGGCAGGAAACCGCACGTAACTATGCAGGAATCGGGGCATCAGGAAACAAGGCAGCATGTTCATCCATCAAGACGTTTAACTGTCCGTGCTAAATTTAGAAGGGAAGCGCAAAAACACGAGCACCATACAATGCATGTCTGCTATGATTCAATGGTGGCTGCGGCACTGATCACGACCGTTGTTGCAACGACAAGTCTCATCACTTTCCTCATCATGAGACGTCGAGGACGACGGCGTCGACGTACTACGTCCTCTATTGGCGGTACTGCTACGACTACGACTACTGGTATGCCAGTGCTGCGACGACGACGACAACTTCTACTCCTGCTGCTGCCACTGCTCCAAAGGCGGCGTTGACGACGACTACTGCCATCACCCTCCCCGACCTGCCCAGCAAGGAGAGGAAACCAAGACGCATCCATGACCAGAAGTCTGCGACGGACATAACCTGGGCCACGATCTAAGTTGGGGTCTTCTCTGCTGCCACGTCTGGGGCTCGGCGTTTGCTTATGCCGGCTCAAAACTGGAAGTCACTGCAACACATCCCTCGAACTCGAGTTTGGAGCAACTCCCACCTGATCGATGCCTTTGTGGCCGAAGTAGCCGCTCCAAGCGAAGTTTGCATTTTCGATGATATCTCGTTCAAAAGCTTCCTCTATTGCATAGAGCTGTTCCTGGTGCAGTATATACAGAGCAAGGATGGTAAAGGAGACCAGCACAACGATCGTGAGAGGAAGCTCCAGAAAGGTATTCTCAGTGTCAATCTCCCACTTTATGTACTCCAAGTAAACACTTTGTTGGACTCCCTGGGACATAACGATGTCGTCATATGTGATGGTTTTGTGGCGCTTCATGGTGTTCACGGCGCTATACAAAGCCTCGTCGTGCTTCACAGCTGTGAGATCTTCATCGAACTCCAGCTCCCCTGATGCCAAAACAGTTGTCCCAAGGGCCAAGAGACCCGTTTGTCCCGCCTCTGGCTCCTCGTCGCGCTCGTGCTCTGCACCGAAGAGCTCCGACGGATGCGCTGCCGTGTGCCCGTGGTGGGCAGCATGCGACTGCATGGAATGTGGGATGCCCGCCATGGTAGCTGATCGCGCACTTTGGCGCTCTACTTGTCATCAGCCTGCGGTGGGTGTGGTCAATGCGCTACACTATGACTGGGAAGCTGGTCTGTTGTGGGGCTCGGGTGGGCCGGGGCTGCAATGATCTCAGCAGTTTGAAACTTTGAGCGAGTCTTATCGGTTGCTGGCAGGGTGCTTGCCTCAACGTTTCTGACCCTACATCATGTAATTCATATATATGGTTCTCACACATAGTATACACCTCTGTTTCACTCGGTAGACATGACATCGTTCTCCCAGTTACATAGATCCTCCGCTGCTCGGAGCGTATGCTTGCTTACTTGCAATGCGACTTTCCGTTGATATGCAGGGTTGATGTGTAGACTCTACGCCGCAGCATGCAGAGCCAGCGCAATATCGACCGCCAGGTCCATCATCCGAGGCCTAAAGACCTTTCATCAATTTCCGTTATACGTGGTGTGCACTGCAGAGTTGGAGGAACTGTCTTGGCTTGGGGCATCCCGTGGAAACTGCTGGCCGTACCGGGTTTTCAGAAGGTATTTCAATCCGGTCCTTCCGCGATGCGCAGATCAGGAACGGCTGAAGCCAGCACCTTCCTACATAGCATCCTGGTTAAACGCATGTCGATGTGCACGGTAGGGAAATTTTCGGTGGAGTGCTGTGATTTGTGCAATGACGCCTGGGGAACTGCTTTAGAGAGACGAAGCTTAAGCACGATCTCCTGCTTGGCCGCTTGAGGAGTGCGCCTCAAGAGCATCTTTTTTTTTACGGGGTTCATAGATCGCTACATTCCTTGCTCACAAATTTCCCCCACCATAGTCAGATTGATGCCTCTCGTGCCTCACTTAGATGGCCAAACCCCTGTCTCGTTCCTATGCCGTTCAAGTCGACACGAAGACAAATAGAAAGAACAACCACTGAAACCCCAAGACTCTTGTTTCAACTCTTTCACACTATGCATCACGTCCTGCTCACACCATAATACGATGACTTCTTTTTAACTCGCTCTTGTCAGACGACTCTTGCTGGCAGCGTGTGGAACACCGGGGCATCATTTTGATGCCCCTGCCAAGCGGCTTTGCACAGGATTCTGAGCAGTTCTGACCACAAGCAGCATCCACCCGGCTATGACGGCAACCGAGTCGGATCTTAAATGGCAACTGCCGGAAAATGAGACGCCTCTGCGTCTGAAACCAGAAAAGCATGCACGGAGCCAGCTGACTCCTTGGAAGATCCTTTGTGCTTCGTGCAGTCTGCTTCGATTTTGCTGCCAGAGCCCAAACCATTAAACTAGACTACGCATTGCTGCAAAACCCCGAATCATTGTGATTTATGATTCCTCTATCCGAGAACTTTATAAGCCGTACAAGCCCTAAATCCCCAAACTTTCGTGGATGGAACGTTTGGGGTCACCAGCCGATGGCCTCATTCGGGTTCGACCAATTGGAGCTCCCCAGCTCCCGGAAATAGGACAAGACCGCGTTCCCCTCGCCTCATGAGGGTTTAGGGTTTCGGGGTTTACGGTTTATATGCTTTTGTTAAGGAATTTACTTTAAGTTACCATATTAGGGATCTATAAGGGCTCCTTTAAGGGTTTAGGGACCGCGTTCCCCTCGCCTCATGAGGGTTTGGGGTTTGGGGGTTTAGGGTTTAGGGTGTAGGGTTTAGGAGTCTCCTCATGCTAATAACAATAACAAGAACGGTAATGAAAATGATCGTAGTAGTAGTAGTAGTAGTAGTAGTAGTAGTAGTAGTAGTAGTAGTAGTAGTAGTAGTAGTAGTAGTAGTAGTAGTAGTAGTGGCGTGGTACTAATAGCAACAAGAAGAATAAGAATAGTAGTAAAAATAATGAGACTAACAAGGATGACATGAATATCAAGAATAAAAACAGCAATAACAAGAAATAACATAAGACAATAATGAGAATTGCAACTAGAATACTTTAAAGTCACATTTTCGAAAACAGTGACAACCAGAATACCAACCATATTCATGATAAGTTTCAGCACCAATCTGATGATGTTCTTGACAAAAATGATTGGGAACTGTAAGGAAGAGTCTTGTATAGTACCCCAAAGTGTCCTAAGTGCCGATATAGTAGAACGTAGGGTTTCCATATTAGGAACTACTATTATGACCTAGGGAAGTTTCCCCCATAAGAGTACATACGCTTGATGATATAAATCCTGCATTACCTTAAGGACCCTAAACTAGGGGAATTATGGTATATTCCTTATTGTGGGTAATGCAGGATTTATATCATCAAACCGTAGGACCCTTTGGGTAATTACAGCGTTCCCCTGGCCTCGCTGGAGGCGAATCGTTCCCGTCCGCTGGCCCTCGTCATCGATGAGGTGGCCCTCCACCCAGTCCTCAGCTCTTTCCTTTTAAGGGTACCCTTTAGGGGTGCTACAATAGCGGTCCTTTAAGGGGGGGCTCTTCCCTTTTAAGGGTAACCTTTAGGGGTGCTACAGTAGGGGCCTTTTAAGGTAGTAGAATAGGGTCTTCTTCTTGAAAGAACTTTGCGTAAGAACGTCTTTCTGGACTGAGTAACAGTAGCAACAATGATAATGACACCACTACACAGAATAGTTTGGTGCCCTTCTTGGAGGGGCCCTTTTGTGTGGGAACTTATTCTTACTTCTGGATTACTGTAATGATAAGCCGTGAGAATAGTCATAATCGTAATAACAAACATATTGAACGGTAATAATACTTGTCATTGTAACGCTATTACAAAAGTTAGAAGAATATTCCTAATAATGATAGTCATGAAAGAGCAGTGAGAGTAGTAATAATCTTAACAAGAAACATATTCGATGATGATAGTGCTTGTCAGAATAGTGATGTTCATAGTTATAAGAAGACTATTCATACTAATGGTAACCATGAAACGAGACATGATTTCTAGAGCAGCCTGAGATTCCCCTACAACTCTGAGGGTCGATGTGCACCTCCTGCCAGCGAGCTCCTCCTCGAACTTCCATCTTCCGTCGCTGCACTTCGAGATCCTGAGACATGATTTAACTTTAATTTAAGCTACCATATGTTATTTACTATAGATCCTTAATATGGTAACTACAACTTAAGTCATCATGATAAGGAAACCATTTTATTTACTAAAGATACCTAATATGGTAACTTGAATTTGGGTTTCCATACTAATTTATGAAACCATATTATTTTACTATAGATGCCTAATATGGTACCTTGAGCCCAGGATCGAGTAGCTCTGACCGAGGTTCACCCCATAGTACCACCTCGGCGAATCAGCAGCTAGCGAAGCTTCTCTGAGCAAAGAAGGCTAACCTGGGTTGTTCTTTGAACCCCTTGAAAATTATGTATGAATAGGTTCCCTTTATAAGGAAATAAGGGAAAATGAGACTTATCCCAAAGCACAACTCCAGTAACAACCACACCCCCTACCCGCAGAAACTCCGCATGGACAGCTCGACTGCTGACGGCAGTCTTTCATTGTGTTACAGGCCTTGGGACATAAATGCCACACAGCTGCCTGCCCTGGAGTCGGTAGAACATCCGACTCGCCTCCACCTTCCGCAATGGTTGTACTTTGAGCTAGTCGGAGTCGGACAAGAACCTCGTGTTCGTGCGTTGAGCAGCCTGTATTTTGCAAGAGGGCGCCTCTAGTATCGCTTTCAGCAAAACGAGTCCCGGCTATTTCTCTGCTGCCACCAGCGTTGCCAGCGCTGCGGCCGAAACCCCCAAAACTACCCCAAAGCCTCAACCTCAAAGCCCTCAACCCCTTCCTGAAGTCTTGTCCTCATCAATGGCCTCCAGGACCCCTTAAACCGTAACCGACTGTAATCCCCGAGCTCAGACATGCTAAAGGCATAAGGACAGCTCATAAAGTTTTAGGGTTCAGGGTCCCAATCCCAGACTCCAGAAATAGTTGCACAATGACATGAAATTCCCTAGGATGGGTCTTGTCATGCAGGAGGCTTTCACGCCTTCTGGGCAGTTGCAACGAGCATACAAACACAACTCCGAAAGCCTAGCAGCAACCGTAAGCCTTAGATCCTAAACCGTGTACGGGGTTGCTAAGCACAGACAACACCCCTGAAGGCTTACACAGATTGCCGTTGTAGTAATACCGCAGGAAGTGATAGCAAATATACTGACGGCAGATGGCACCAACAATAATGGCAAAAGAACACACAAGCGATATGCATAATTGCAACCACACGAATAGTAATGAACACAAACATATTAGCATCAGTAACACTAGCGACAGTAATAACAGCAATGATAAGCATGCAAATAAACTAGCAAACATGACCACCATAACACTAGTAACGAGAGACATACTCATAGTATACCCTCTCATCATAATACTGGTTCTACCCAAAACAATTGCACGAGCCGCAACAGCAGTATCTGTTGAAACGAATAACTTAAGGCCCTATTGTGACAAAGGATACTATTAGGCTGTGTCAGATTAAATGTTGCTCTTTCACTGTCATGTTATGCTATGTTATGGTAGAGTATGCTATGTTGTGTTGTATGCTGTCATGTTGTGTTAAGTTATGATATGCTTTGCGATGCTGTATTGAATTCCATTATATGAATACAGCTATATATATATATATATATATATTTAAACGTACATAGCATTATACCGTAGTGTAATGATGCGTACTTATTCTTATGACGCTATGGTGAGGCTGATGACGAGGGCCTCCTCTACAGACTCCCCAGACTCCTCCGCGCTGAGAACGGTCTCGACGGAAGGCAGCTCGGCGGGTGCCAGGACCACGTTCCCTACGTAGTACAAGCCTGCACAGAGTGTTGGATTTTGGGGGCTTTGGAGGCAGGGTGTGGGGTTTAGGATTTGGAGGGTTGAGTTGAGCTTTGGTGTTGGAGGGCTAAATCTACGGCCTAGGGCTTTGAGTTGCTTTGAGTTTAGAATAGTTTAGGGTTTTGATCGGGCTTTACCGTCTTAAAGGTTGGTTGACAGGTTCCAGGTCCTGCGCCCACCGCCGCCAATCCCAAGATCACCAGCAGCCGCGAAAACTGCGACTCATCTGTGCTCCCCGATGGAAGGAAGCCCTTCGTGAAGAAAGAAGGCTGGAAAACCAGCCAAAACCTGCGGCAAAGGCGGTCCGAAGCTGCAGAGAACCGAGCGTTCGTGATCTCTGACGTGACCCTGGCATCTCATAGCTGAGACAGGGGCAAGTCGTTTCCAGCTCCCAGGATCAAACCGAAGGCAGCGAAGAGGACATACTGCCTCTGCCAAGGGAAAACTCAGGCAGTCTGACATGTGTGTAGCACTTCACTTTGCAGGAACACTTATATCTCACAACGATGGCCTTCGGCAGTACTGCTAGTGTCTCATGTAAGTGGTAGGGACTGGAGCTCTGATCCCTGAAGCCCTCTAAGTTCGGCCTGTAGGGTTCGAGTGTGTCAGCTTTCTCGGTCATCTTCTCGCGCTCCTCCTTGCAAGTCGGAAAATGCTTCGGCATTGAATGGCCCGCGTGGATAAGTTCGACCCAGCATGATGACAGCTGCAGCAGTGCAAGTTGAAGTGTGTGAACATAGACGGCAGCCAACTTCGGCGTTTGCTGCGCTGTCATCCGGGCCTCTGAGATCAGAGACTCGAGATCGCCGTTCCCGATCCGCAGAGCTTTGCGGTCACTGACCAATAGCTCTGCCTGCCACGCCATCGTCAATAGAAAAGCCGTGAAACTTGCATCTGCAGGAGGAGTCGTAGTAGCAGGGCCCTCGCAAAAGCAGTAGGAGTAGTAGAAGCAACTGGCAGGAGCACGAGGGGTGGTTGTAGTTGCGGTTGGTTGGTCGGCTGGCTGGCTGGCTGGTTGGTTGGTTGGTCGCCAGTGCTTGTTGCATTACTAGTCTTCTTGCCACTAAGTTATTTGCAACAAGTAATCGTAGTAGTAGTAGTAGCAGGAGTACTAGTAGTAGTAGTAGTAGTAGTAGTAGTAGTAGTAGTAGTAGTAGTAGTAGTAGTAGTAGTAGTAGTAGTAGTAGTAGTAACAATAGTAGGACTACTGCTACGACGACATGCGATATGGAACCCAGCAGCGACAACAACATCCGCTGCTGCTGCGATTACGACGTACTACTGTTGGACGGTCCTGCTCCCGCATCGTCTGCACAGGCTTGCAGAGTCGGCGAACTCGTTGTGCCCGCGCTGCCTTCTGGAGTTCTGAAAGTTGCGGGGGGCTTCCAGAAACATGCGTGCTCACTCGGGATCAATACTCCACATAGAATCAGCACGCCCTGTCTCCCTCGGCACTGTGCACTGCAAATCTGCCTTCGTGCATGCAGCCGTAACCAGCACGCTGCCAAGGAGGCGCCAGCATCTACCCTGGAGGGCCCAGTTAAGTTCAGCAGTGTAAGTGTTAAGGTCAATTGACAACGGGCAAACGAACTGCAGCCCAGACTTTAGGGCCAGTGCTACAAGAGTTCTGCAGGTCAGACATGTATCTGTTGTCGAATTCAAAACGAAGCAACGGGTATAAGGATCCAGCCACCAAAAAGTACTTTGCTGTAAGGCTCAAGCGGCTTATGTAAAGGCGATATTGCGGCTTAAACCGGAACCCTATAATAAAGGAGGACCTTAGCTTAAGGTTGATAAGCAATCCGATTTGAAAAACTGTGGCTTCAGATGCTGACACGCTCCAGACTACATCGTGAACACCAGACCGCCGATACCCGACGCCCTGAGTCTAGATCTGGACCCAATCAGGAGGGTCTAGAGTTGGGAGTTTCCGAAAATAGGGGACCCTAAAAATAGTAGGATCCTAATTATAAGGACCCCCAAATAAGGTACCCCTGATGTTCGGAAACTCCCATCTCCAACTACAGGAGTGCTAACTTTCATCCAGCATCTATCCGGCTCTGTTTCGGCCTGGTCTTGCTGCACCGGGCACTGCGGAGCAACTTCCGAGGCTGGCATAGTGGAAAAGGTCGATGGACCGGTCCTGACCTCTTTCACAGACAGAGATGCATTGTCACCAGTCTGAAGCTGACTATAACTAGGCTTTTCTTGTTAGTATCCTTCTTACCCCGACGAGAAAGTCTTGGTAGTTTGGGATGAAAGACTTTGAAGATTTACCTCTGGGATGCATGCTACGGTTTAAGTCTTGGGTGCTTTTCAGTCTTTAGCCTCGCCTTGACTTCTTGCCAGCTGGCGGCAGGAGGAGCTGAGATCGTGGCCATCATGGACATCTTCGTGGGCAGATGTGGGATTGGGGGTTCTAGAACTCGGTGTGCGTTTTATAGAAAGAGCCTTGAGACACCTACTGTATTTGTGTCTTTGTGTTGCAAGTGGAAAAAAGCGTGTTGGGGTGTACGAAGAAACACTGTCACCAACTATTGAAGCCCCGAGAGTCAAGGAGCATGCTCAAGGTTTGTGCCGGTGGAAGCCGTTGTTGCACTAGGCTTTGGGTCAAGGCAACACTGCTGTCGCCGCCCCTGCTGCGTTTTGAAGTATGTACTTGCTGCTGCTGCTGCTGCTGCTGCTGTGATTTTTGTCTACCGTACACTGGCAAGGCACAGTCTGAATGGGTGAAACTTCCTGAAAGATGCTGCGACGAAGCCGGCTTGATACCAACCCACACCTGGCTACGCCACTAGTAAGGATGAGAAACTGATCCGGAACTAGAACTTCTTTTCGATTAGCAGATTAGGAATAGTAACGATCAAAGTCTGACAAGCATGTGACGGAAAGTGCTGTTCGCTACAGACGAGTTTTGGATGCCTCCTCTTGCAACACGCTGCGACGAAAAATCGTGGCGAAATGCATGCTGAAGAGAGACTTTCCTCCCTGACTTGAAGAACTCATGTACATCCATCCTCCAGACAGCTCACACTTCAGTCAAAGCACAAGCTACCAAATTACGTTGGAGCTCCTTTACTGCTTTCTTGGGATCACGTCCGTGGCAACCTTAGGTGGCCAGGGTGAGTCCGTGAAGCCCAAGAGCATTGCATGAGACGATTTCCGATCGGAATCAAGATGCTATCAGCATACCAACTCAAGTTCACGGTGGGCTGAGGTGTGAGGTGCCTGAAGAGTTTGCATTTTCAGGTGCTCTTGCAGCTTAGGCAAGACAGGTACGAACATGACGAGAAGCGGTGCCTGCTCACTGAGGCTAGTCCTGCCATGCGATGCACACTGTATGTGGGACAAATGTCGTCCAACGAATCTCTTGCACTCACCACTTCAAAGCGAAACATCAAGATGATTCTCCCTGTACCCAGCCATTCGGAGGGTGATGATGCTCATGATTGCGATCGAACGGGTGTTGCTGAACATGATGAGTTCTCGTTCACATGCAGCATCATTGTCATCACCATCACCGTCACATCACTATCACCATCAGAATCACCACCAGGGTCATGATGATGATCATCATCGTCATCAAGACTATCATGACTAAGTCGTGGAAGCGCGGAAGCCCGTCCTCGTCATCATCCGTGGTTGCAGCGAATCGGACGCCTGCTTTCGTCGCCTCTGGCCTGGCATATGACTGCTCAGATTACCGCTTGAGTACTGACTGTTGTGCTACTGCTACTGGTACCTCCACATTTTGCTTCTCGTGCTAGTTCTTAGCTCTACTAGTAGCAGCATTGCTAGCAGGTAGCAGTTAGAGTCAGCAGCAGTCGTCGTCGTTGTCGTCCTGCAGTCGCTGTCGTGCTAGCAGAAGCAATAGAAGCAGTAGCAGGTGGCTGGACGTTGTCGTAGCAACAGCAGGTAGCAGCAGCAGTCGCAGCAGCAGCAGCCCCAGCAGCGTGAGGAGCAGGAGCAGGAGCAGGAGCAGGAGCAGGAGTAGTAGTAGTAGTAGTCGTGGTGGTGGTGGTGGTGGTGGTAGTAGCAGTAGCAGTAGCAGTAGCAGTAGCAGTAGTAGTAGTAGTAGTAGTAGTAGTAGTAGTAGTAGTAGTAGTAGTAGTAGTAGTAGTAGTAGTAGTAGTAGTAGTAGTAGTAGTAGTAGTAGTAGTAGTAGTAGTAGTAGTAGTAGTAGTAGTAGTAGTAGTAGTAGTAGTAGTAGTAGTAGTAGTAGTAGTAGTAGTAGTAGTAGTAGTAGTAGTAGTAGTAGTAGTAGTAGTAGTAGTAGTAGTAGTAGTAGTAGTAGTAGTAGTAGTAGTAGTAGTAGTAGTAGTAGTAGTAGTAGTAGTAGTAGTAGTAGTAGTAGTAGTAGTAGTAGTAGTAGTAGTAGTAGTAGTAGTAGTAGTAGTAGTAGTAGTAGTAGTAGTAGTAGTAGTAGTAGTAGTAGTAGTAGTGGTAGCAGTACAATCGTAGTAGCAGCAGCATGAGTAGTAGCAGCATTGTCCCTGATATCGCAGCTAGGTCCCGACTCCGTTCAGTATCATCAATACACCTTGGCTTCACAGAGCTCTTGGCTTCCGTGCCTTGACTCCTGGGCATCGTTCTGTGATGACGAGGAAGGCCTTGGTAATCCATGCAGCCGCCATAGCGATGAAAATAAGACTGTCTGCCGACTATTGTCTGGTTCTTAGTAGGAAATGAGGGAATGGGTTATTGGGCCTAATATGGGGGATTATATATAGGGACAACTATAGGGATCCATTCCCCCATTCCCAACTAAGAACCAGACAGACTATCTGCACCATGACACGAACGAAAATTCCGGCGCGAGTGTCTGCTAAGCTGGAGCATCTGTATTTTCTTGCAATGCGCCAGAGAGCTCTGGGGCACAGACCCGGCTTCCATAGGATACATCCAATTGACTGTCTGGGGCGCCTTGGCAAAATGCAATCAGCAACTGAATCGTGACGCTGACATCCTAAATAAATCTCAAACCCCCGCTATTGAGACCCTCCACGACCTCAAGCCTCAAGATCTAAGGAATCTGAGGCAGAAGAAGAACCCTTGGACCCCTCGCCCCGCCCGCCGTCCTGGAGGCTGTCTCGGGCGCGGTGGAGCCAGGACCGCATGATCGACTCTTCCGACCAGGTGAGGGATTTAGGTACCTTCGGAGTTCTGGAGTGTAAGATCGGCATTCAGGCTCGTACAACAAAGTTAACTTTGGCCTTGTTTAGGTGTTTTGGTAGGTCCTTCCACTCTTACGAGCATCACCGTTCTCGCGACGGATACTGCTTTCGCTGTTGCCACTGCCTTTGCCGGTGATTAATAATATCCCTTAGGTTAACTTGCATGCTTACGTGCCTGCGTACCTTTGTTTGTATCTACAAACAGCAATCACTAATAGACGTGTCTACGGACATAAGCAACTGTTCACCCCCGTAAGAAAAACGACGTGCATTTGACCAACTAAACAACCATCCAGCCAGTTAGCCAGCTGACTAACCAAACCACCGACTGAGTCACTAACTAAGTCACTAACTAGTTCAACTACCAACTAATTACCAACTGCTGCAACTATCTAGTTAGCTAGATAGCTAGCTGACTGACTGACTGACTGACTGACTGACCGACTGACTAACTGACTAACTGACCCACTGACTGACTAACTCCACACTGACTAACGCAGGGACGGACAAACCAATTAACTGGATAACTAACTGAGCAGCTAAGTAACAAACCAGCGAGCTCGTTAGCAAGCTAATGAACTAATTGCATAGCTAGTTAACCGGCCAGCTAGCTAGCGTCAAGAACGATCAAATGCGCGCATACGTACAGAAGTACATGCATACCTACACACAAGGATGCAGACATGGGTAACAGCATGAAGCAACCAGTACATAACAACCTTGTGCGTAGGGGCATAGCCGATCGAATGAAAACATAAACGAAGAAACTCAACAATAAGCAAGCCTAGTGCATGAGTAGGTCGTAGATGGGTCCAGGAGAGCAGAGCGTGGTGGAACCACCACAAGTCTACGCCCAGCATGAATTGCCATTGGTCTCTCCTGACGAACCAACAAGTGCCTGTCACTAATATCCCAAATCCTGCATACTACTATTTCTACTCTTATTCTGGCCCCACACTATCCCAAATCCTGGAATCCCAAGATCCTGGAGAAGCCAAGCTCCACCTTGAGAGGCGGCTTCTGTGCGATGTCGTCTGCCTCCAAGTCGATCTTCCGGGGGTCCTCCAGGATTAGTACTACTATGACTGTAGTTACTACTACTACTACTACTACTACTACTACTACTACTACTACTACTACTACTACTACTATTACTACTACTGCTACTGCTACTGCTACTGCTACTGCTACTGCTACTGCTACTGCTACTGCTACTACTACTGCTGCTACTACTACTATTACTACTACGACTACTATTACTACTACGACTACGACTGCTAGTGCCCGGATACGAGATCAAGCTGCAAGAAGCAGGTTAGTGGATCCAAAAAGCTTCGGCTTTGAGAACTAGAAAGCACCAGACTCTGAAACCCTAGGCTCTAAACCATGCAGGCCTTTGCCGAAGCGGCGAATCCCGAGAAGCCAGCTTACAGGCTTGAGAGTAACAATAACATGCACAGAACTACGACTGTGGCTACGGCGAAGAGCGCACCCAGAGGAAGCCAAAGCCTGAACCGTAAGAGTGCCTTGATGCCATCATCGTCAGCTGCGGCAGCCTCACGGTTCCAGGGTTAACTACGGGTTCCTTAAGGATAGTATACCGGTGACTATCAAGATGTCCTAGAGGCTTTGGGCTTGGCTTGAACGTGTAGGGATTTGGCTAAAGTTCGGGTCTTTGGATTCTGTGGTTTCGGACCACAGCGGCTTAAAGGCGTAGGCATTTGACGGCTTCAGATCTGAGGGCTTCTGGCATGGAGTCATGCGGCTTCGGATGTCCAAGGTTACGGGTTTTTTGGCTCTTAGAACTGACAAGCGTTGCAGGGTTTGGGGTTTGAACCGGTAGATTAAGAAAGGGTTCAGAGTATGTGGGGCATCGACGTTTTGGGTTTAGGGGTTGCGCCTTTTTTGTCTAGTTACATCAAGCTGAATCTTCAGCGTCAACGGACATCGGACCGGCCCCTAAGTTCTTGCAGTAACCCTTTAGTACTGTACCGCATTGAGTATGCTCTTAGTAGGGTACCTTACCCTTTGTAGTAAACCTTATGAAATAGTAACATGTAAGTACCCGATAAAACACACCCTGACTCTACAGGGCTTAGAACTCTGGACCAGGATCTTGATTCGCCCAACGGCCCGGCTGCACACCACAATTTGGGAGCTTCTGAACATGGGGGACCCCAATATCGCACCCTAAATAGTAAGATCCATATCATAAGGACCCCAAAAGAAGGTACCCCTAATTTGCGGAAACCCCCATTTCAGAATGGCTAGGCAACAAGCCTATACCCAAAAGGGAAAGTCTCGACCTGAACCCTTACACCTTAAACCCCAAGCCCACCCTCATGCTACAGCAGAAGCCAGAAAGTTGGAATATCATTATCGTAACCCCTTTATGGTAAATTATAGGGTATCCTACCCTGAAACCATATTCCAACTTTCTGGAGTTCCCTTTGCTGCTGTTGACACTCGGTTCCGCCTCGTCCTCTTTGTCCGAGACTGACGGCAGCGACCTCAGTCTTAGAGCTAGCAGACATGGGAGTTTCCGAAGATTAGGGGTACCTTATTTTGGAGTCCTTATAATAAGGATCCTACTATTTAGGTTACTATATTAGGGTCCCCCATTTTCGGAAACTCCCACATCATCGTCTCTTGTCGAAGTGATTTCGCGGGGTAGGTTCTCGGCTTACGGTTTAAGGATTCAGTTCATGGTCTCTTGAGCCGATCTGAGTTTAGGAGTTCAGCGAGTCTTTCCTCTTGTAAGATAAGATCTCTTCACCGAGCCACGTCCGTCTCTAGAATGACTGCATGCTGTACTGTAACTCGAGTGCCGCATACTCTCTGTTTGGTTTTTGGAGTCAGGGCCTTCGGGTTTGGGAGGCAAGGATTCTTGCTTCCGGCTTTGGGCTGGGCCTTGGGCTGCAGGGTCGTAGGCCAGGGCTCTCAGACTCTGGTTGGTTGTGCGGTGGTTGGGGCGGGCAAGCTCTTCTAGCCTGTCAAAGTTTACGACACCAGGGACACTCGCAATAGCAGGGTAGCAGAGATCCTTTGAGTTCTGGTCCGAGTATGTCTGAGCAGCATGTTGCCACGGAAGGCGAGCGGCGCAAGTCCCGCACGTTACGAGGCAATCATGCAAAAGCTTCCAAGAGAGATCAGTCCAAGCCGAGGCGCATCAGGAAAGCACCAGCAATCAACAAGTAGCAGTACCCAGCAAAGCAGCAGAGTAATCACGATGATCAGAATTATTTCCCAGTATTGCTACGACAAGTAGCAGCAGTAGTAGTAGTAGTAGTAGTAGTAGTAGTAGTAGTAGTAGTAGTAGTAGTAGTAGTTCTAGTGGTCAAGGCAAGAAGTTTCGAAGCCGGGAGCTCGGCACGTCGTCGGCTCCGCCCTGCTTGCATCAAGCGGGACTGTAGAGTTTCGGATCGGATGTTGAAGGTTTGGGATCAAGGTTTATGGCTTGAGGCTTGAAGCTCTGGGGTTTCAGTTTAGTAGCGAAGGTTTGTCAGTGGGTCGTGGTGGCTTGGCTTCGTTGTTCCTTTCTTGATGAGTGGTGGTTGTCATTCAAGCGCTCAGTTTTGGCCGTGCATGGCGGAACGTCACTTTTCGCCAATTGCCCAAGCAACTCCTTCAGTGATGGGCGATCTGTTGTGGTCCAGGCATACCATAGGCTGGCTGCTGATTGCTGCGGCGGAATCTCAAGCCTTAGAGCAAGAGATATCCGGGTGCAGGAACACCAGTGGAGGACCCAAACCCTGGGAGAAACGGCAAAAGGCACCCACTACTTTGTCAACAGGGTTTGCAGGACTTCACCGTTCTGCACGGACCCAATTCGAAACCGATCTGTTGAATCGCCAGTCATGCGATCCCTGCTCCTCTACACTGCCGCAAGTCACATCGGCGAAGTCGACGACAACCACGGACCCCCACCGCCGAGGCCAGGAACGCCCATATTTGGGCCACGGATGTCGTTGTAGCAGTAATTTAAAGACTTAGCCGCCACTCGCTCATGAATGAGTGTTGACAACTTCATGACCTCTGAGCAACTCGCTGGAGCCTTCGGTGAAAGCTAAGCGCCGAACAAGCTTTTGGCTTTATTCGCTATGGTCTATGCGGATATTGCAAAGTCCAAGCGCTCCGATGTCGTGGCCAACAGCAGCAGGTTGCCGTGGGAGACGCACGTGCCATCATTGAATGACTATTGAATGCTACAGATGGGCGTGGCGATTGACAGCCCATGGACGTGTAGCTTTTCAACAGGCTACATGCTTAATGACCAGATCACTACAGCAAGAAGAGTAAGTTCAGAGTTTCACAGCGTGCTGCACATACCCTGGAACTACCAAACCCAAAACCCCGAACCCCTAAACCCTACTTGGCTGCCCATCTCCCGGAAGCGGTTTAGGGCTTTTTTTCAGGGTTGGCAACTGCTAGCAGACTGCGGCCCCTGGATACACCTTCATGGCAAGCCCTCTCTCGTTCTGTAGCAGTGCAATCCTAGCTCCTACAGCATGTACGTCAACAGCGTAGGTAGGACCTGGACCAGCGCTTCCGAGTCCTTCGCAAAATATGGAAACCTTAACGTTCAGAATAAGATTTTATGGGCGGTGGCAAGGAATCACCAAGGAACAGCTTACAAATCAAACTGTTCCGGCTTCTGAAGTACATTACTTCGTTATCACATACGAGCACTATTACATTGGAATCGAAACACACGATGGGCCTTGTCCAACAACTCCTTCCTGATCTCTTGCATGGTGCGTCCTGTGCAGGCACAGGGGCTTTCAACTCGGGCTTGGCCCGGTTTTGTAAGGTTTAGGGGGTTACAAGTAAGTTACAAGTACGGTTGAAGTGGTGGGGTTTTAGGGCTTAGGGTTTAGATTTCATTGTTCTCGGCTATCTTCCGAAGGAATAAGTTAAGGTACACAGGCTACAACCTGCTGATACTAATTTTCAAATAATTTAATGAGATGCAGTGGGGAGCAGCTCAGTTTGAAATCACCCCGCCAAGACCCCAACCCCTATCGCACCGCAGGGGTCTCCTTCGATACCGAAGCGAGGAAGGAAATCTTGTGGACGCTCGTCTCGGACCATACATCTTGTCCACTCGAGCCAGAGGTTCAAAACCTCAGCATTCCAGCGCACATGTGGTCTGTTTCGAATGTGGTTTTCCACAAAAGCATGTGGCATTCATTCTTGTGCCCGACGTTCTGGAAGTGACACTATCTGGGATCCCTCCCGCACCTACCCCAGTCTCTGTAAGGCCAACACCTGCTTCATTTCTGGCTCCATGGTAATCACAGGGTAATCGCTCACCCTGATCACTTGGCGGCATGCTTCGAAACTGCTCAGGGTGTGTGCGCTACGCTACACCTATACAGGTGACTCAAACCAGAGAAGCTGTTGCAAATCCAATGCATATCATAAGAAGAACATCGTGCACCAAATGCTGACAGCCCTCAACTGTCCTCACCAAAAGAATTGCCATTGCACGCCGCAGACAACACAAATTGCTCGGTGCACACTTGAGGTTGCCTCCAGGGTCAACCCTATAACCGACATCGCAAACTAGAACCACCCCCGCAAAACGAAGTGCTACTGACTGCCAGACCTGCCTGACTTTCTCGTAAGCACTCTTCTGCTTCGCCTGCCCATGTGGGAGCTGTTTGCAGTTGCATGCTACGCCATCTCTCGTGACCGTGAACTGCACCAGTCGCTACGGCTTTCGTGCTGTCATCTCATGATCCTAGGCCAAAGGAGTCATGCACCCAATGCTGCCCCGACCCCCGGTCAGCCTGCAGACGCTGGTAGCGCTTCTCGTTGACCGGGATGTTGGTGTTACGCTTGTGGTAATACTTCGCGCACTCCTGATCACGACAGTGACAACGCAGAAATGATGCGGTCGCAGGATTTCTGACTTGCTCACGCCGTCCTCGCAAAGCGTGCAGGTTGGAGTGAAGGTCTGGTAGAAGTGCTTCCATAGCGGTGTATTCCATAACGGCGACCTCTTGGGACGAACAAGAAAACAAAGAACAACCTCGACACACCGTCATGAGGGTCCGGCATGTCTCTCTGTTCTCGGTAAAGAGAAGCCAAATGCCTCAGCAGCCGACCGCTCCCACTCCCGGCTGGGCGAAGCATAGACAGGCATGGTCTCGATGCGCCCGTCCGTCCCCCAGGTCACATCCAACCAGGGTCCAAGCAGGAGAGTGTAGATGGGCAGCACGACCACTGGCAGCTCATCTTTGCTCTTTCCGCAAATCTCGCAAGCATCACGGCGTTGGTAGTTGTCCAACTTGACCTTGATCCATCAAGGAAACAGCTTGGATGGGTCGTCAGCAATGCCTGAAACATCGAGCACGGAAGTTGTTGAAAGTGGCCGAGGCTGCGGCCATGGCAGATACTTGCTGTAGGAAGAGCATGAACTGGGCGCGTTCCCGCCACATCCTGGCTATGCCCGACAGCAGCAATGCTAGGTAGATTGATAGTGCAGGGTTCAGTATGGTATGAATGATACTGTCTCAAGCTTGGCTGAGACGCTGAGAGGGAGCATAGGGAACCTTAATTTTGCAACCTCAAATAACCCTGAACCAGAGGACTCAAATAACTCTAGGACGTGGCCTCATCAGCTGACGGAGAGCAGAATTCTCGTACGTCTCCCGCTGAATCTGGCGACAAAGGTGAGCTGGCCAGCTGAGTCCACAGACACATTGCGTCACCATACATGCATATGTACATGTCTGCCTTCCTGTCTATCTGTCTATCAATATCGAATGCCCCTACACACAGCCACGAAGACATACATCGAACACACGCACACACGCAACTGCTATATATATATATACACATACATATATAATACAATATTAGATTATTTATATATAATACGTATGTTTCTGTATAGGCACATTTATATATGGATGCTGATACAAGCAAGTCGAACTCGTGAATAACTGAAGTAAGTTGTAACTTTACAACCGGGACTGAGATCATAAACAGAGTACCTGCCACAAGCCGACCAAACGGAGAAGCACCTGGCTGTGTATATGGTCTCGCACGTGTGTGTGTATATATATATATACATATGCACGTATGTATAAGACTACGAATACTATACCCGTGAATCTACACATGTTGTGTATGTACATGTAGGGTATGTATTTATACTTGTAAATAAATAAAGATATATATATATATATATATATACAAGTATATATGTATATGTACACATACATGGAGTTGTATATACATGCACAAGTATACATGTACAGACATCTGGGTACACATACTCTCCAGCTCCACATCTCTTCGACTTAAAAGACTCTCTCGCGACCCCGCGATTGCAGCTCGAGCTCACGGAAATGCAGCACCGGACCAGTAGGTCAGAGGATTCCCCAACCCGGAAGAACCTACCTTGGTGAGGACTTATATAAGGAAATCTTAATAAGGAAACCTACAAAGGTAGGTTATTCATGGATAAGGTTTGGGCTAAGGGCAGAGTTGTGCGATGAGAGCTTCAGTTGTTGGGCTCAGGGATTAATTCAGATTTAGGTACGTTGTAGGATTTAGGGTTTGCGACTATAGGATTTGGGGTTACCACTTAGTGACTTAGTGGCCTCTTACTTAAGGTCTCGATTTTCGGGTTCTGCACCAGTAGCCCGAAAGTTCCCAAGTTGTAATCATCGTCATAGCTACTGACGGTATTCTCTCGGCAAGATTGATCATCATTCAACATATACCCTAAACCCTAAACCCTAATATCCTGAGATCATACAGCAGTAATGATACGGCTGATGGTGTAAATCCTGCATTACCCATAATAAGGAATATACCTAATAATCCCCATAGTTTAGGGTCCTTAAGGTAATGCAGGATTTATATCATCAACTTAAACCCTTAACACCAACCCCAAACCCCAAACCCTAAACCCTAAACCCTAAAGATGTTGGAGGCATGAGGGCCTCAGAAGCTGCTCTTGCCAGGTCCATCGCAGGAGGGGCACCGAACTGGAACATCTCCTGTCAGTTCGGAGGCCTCAAGAGGTGGGATGAAGGTAGGTAGGATTAAGGATCCCTTATATAAGGACTCTTATTTGGAAATATCCCACCTACCTTCATCCCGCCTTTTGAGGTCTCCGATCAGTGTGTAACTATATGGGTGGTTGTCAAAATTATGGCCCCTTTTTTGGGTCTCTCATATAATACGACACCTATTATTTAGGATACCCAGAAAGGGACCCTAACTTTGACAACTACCTATATGTGCATGTATACAAGTGTAGTACAAGGGAATATATACATATATATGTATATGTATATGTATATATATAACTGTGTATATGAAATTGTGTTAACCATAGTCATAGTCTAGTATGTATGAGCATATATAACTCTTACTATTTATGTAGCACTCTCGTATATATATATATATATATATATATATATCTATGTATATGTACACACGTAACCAGATATGTATACACATCCACATCCTGCCCACCAGACATCTGGCTGGCACAGGAGCTTCGTCTCATTCGACCTTACTTGAGAAGCTGTCCCCAGAGAGCCGAATACCCTTGAATTACGGAATATAGCATGACTCATAATATGAAGCCCCTAATGATTCAAATTTATATTCCTTAATTAAGGGGTATTGCGCTCTCTGGGTCAGCTTCTTCCCGGGTACTGGGCCGAAGTGGTGCACACGTGTTCGGTCAGGGGCCTGGCTTGACGAGGAAGCGCATGGCAACTAAGAATCAGCTGCTAGCTGTCTATGTCTCCCTCTCTCTCTCTGTCTCTCTTGCCCCTCAGGTTAGCAGGAGTCCTTCTCGACTGCCTCAGTGCCTTCCGGCGCGTAATCCTTCGGAGCAACCTGCGCGGCAAGGCTCCTAAGCTCGCTGGCTTTCCTGAACTCCCAGCAACCCAACAATCATGTATGCATAAACCCAGCTGCCAGCCCTAATTATCCGAATGAAGAGACTTCAGATCGACGTCTCCTTGGAACTGTCGTGGAAGGTTATGTTTTTGCCAGTGCACTGCTCCGTTTGGAGTGTGATTTCGAAGCTGTGGAGTAGAGCCTGGATTTCCATCTAGTTGTGTGCGTGTGGGGGGGACGATTTTCGGGAGGGGACCCAAAACTAACCTCCGAGCATGCCACAGCTTGGGCCTCGTTGACAATGGAGGCTAAGCCATCCAGAAGATCTTGGCGGTGCCTGAAGAAGGGTTTAGGTTTTTGGCGATTTTCGTAGAGAAGGTTTAGGATTCAAGGATGTATGGATACCGGTGGGGGCTTGGTTTAAACTATGTCACACGAAGTAAACGAGTGTACGATGCGAGAGACCGCCAAACAAACAGGGTTGCATGCCAGGAAATGTCAGGAAACTTTGTAGGAACTAATCCTGGGAGTTCTCGGTACCAACTTCGGAGCCAAGATTGCAGCAACATATTGAAGTAGTGATCGTGGAGCTTGCCACATTCCATATCATATGCTATTACCCAAAGGTTACACGGAGGTGTGGAAGCAAAGGAGCAATGGGGAAGTCGCCGTCATTGGCGAAGCTGCAATAATCAGAGAGCCCTACTAATTAGAATAGTGTTTTGGGGTATATAATACTATAGTCACAATGAGGCCAACCAGGAACCCCCACAGTAGTATTGGTTCTTTCTTACTCCCCTGTATTAACCATACAAACGCCACAACTGGCCGTTTAAGCTTCAAAGATCGGGTGAGGAAGTGTGGGAATCCGACAAATGGGAAGATTCGAGGGCATGGCTTTTCCAAGGTCCTCTTGTCCATCATCTCCGACACGGCTACCTCACAGAGGCAGCTGGCGAGCATAGGAAGCTGACCAAGTTTCTACTACCACTACATGAAGATTCTAGGCGATGAGCCCCGCAACTACCCACTCCTTGGTGGCATCAGAGTTGCCATCACTGTCATGTGCACAGTCCCTGTACCATAAAGGTGAGAGGAGAACCCTTCAAAGAAGAAGTCGTATATTCGGCGTGCGCCTGCAGTACTAAAGAACCAGCCATTCTGGCAACGGTATCAGGAGGCGAAGACTCGAAGAGCCAACTAGAAAGCTCCCCTTGCACCAAAGTAGAATAGAACCAGGCCTTTTTTGCAGGGGTTATGTATTTCTGGTCATTTTTGACGACGTTTCGATCCGGTTGTGGGGTCTATGGCGAGCAACCACATGAACTGATATTCCGAGCCAGAGGCCTCACTTAGGGCAAGATCCCTTCACCCCAAACTCTAATTAGAGTAGGGTTTTCAGGCTCAGTATACTATAACGATTATAAGGACCCTCCCCCCGAAAAATAATACAAGTAATTATTATGGCTCTGACTGTTTGAGGTAGCCTTATCTACCTTCTTCTGCACGAGATTCGGCGCAAGTCAGCTGGCTGCGCGCCAGGCGCCAAACCCTAAACCCCGAAACCCCTAAACTGTAACCCTGCCTGCAGCCAGAGCTGATTCTCGGCCAGGAAAGCGACCCGGTACCTTCCATGACGAAGAGGCTAGGGCTTAGGGTTTAGGGTTTCCATGACAAAGAGGCTCACTACGGTCAACGGTATCAGCAAACGGGAATGCTTATGGCGCGCAACATATGCCGGACAGAACACGCCAACTATAGCACTTTGCCACCTACGCGATTCTACCCTGAATCCTGCAACCTAAACCCGAAATTCCTGCCTTTCCATGCCGTGCTTGTCGTAGTGGGCTGGCCTTGGCCAGCACAAAACAGGGTTCAGGGAAAAGAGGAAGCACTACCTTGATTCTAAACCCTAAACCAGCATCCCCAACCTATACCTCGCAACCCCTAAACCAAAACGCCCTGAATCCCCAAACTATCCCTAAACTCCCATGAAAAACACAAAATCAGAATACCATATGCTATAACATACCGTAGTATACTAGAATAATAACACTCAACAATGCTTCGAATACGCCGAGGTCGAAACTCTGGCCAGCCATCGTGCACGGAGCCGGCTGGAGGAGGCGGAGGCTTCTCGTCCGCCTTGGAGCTCTTTTTTTATTGTTCAGGGATGTGGGATTTAAGGATTAGGGCTTAGGGTTTTGGGATTTGGGGTTTAGGGGTTGGGGTTTAGGGAATTGGGGTTTAGGGATTTTCGATTCAGGGTTCATGGAAGGTGTAGTGTAGGGTTCAGGTGTTCAGGGAGATTCTGCTGTAGCCTGGCGATAGCCGTGTGGGCTCTGCGCAGGCCCTTTGCTACAGGGCTCCGTTTCCCTAGTCCTACTCGTGACTTAGGTGGCATCTGAATCTTCAACCTTGAAGCCTAAAATTACATAATGGTACGCCCCTTATTTCGGGGTCCTTATAACAAGGATCCTACTATTTAGGGTACTATATTAGGGTCCGCTATTTTCGGAAACTCCTTATAAATCCAAATCCCCAAAAGCTGAATGCTGAACCCTAAGTTTTCGACCCTCCTCTGGGTCTCGAGCGGTGCTTCCGGACATTGCCTGCATCTTCTTCATGATCGCCTGAACCATCCGTCAGGGGGTTTAGACTCAGGGTCTATAGAGATATATGCTTTAAGGCTACAAGGGTTCTAGCATGGCGCCAGAATGCGTTCTGTACAGGCTTCGTGTAACAACGCGGGCCGGATTTGGCATTGAGGGGTTTCGGCCGAGGCTTTCGGCAGTCTTGGTGTTTTGAAGTTTAGGAAGCATGGGTTTTCCTTAGTTGGGGGTTGATCGAAGTTGGCTTCCCCTTAAGGGAACCGGCTCAAGATTCGATCATGCTAGTAAAAAACCTCAAAGGAAGCCGACTTTGGTCAAGCACCGAGATAGTAAAGAACCTAATATCTCCGCGCAGCAGGAAGTACGGAGACTAAAACAGCGCCGGACAGTAGAATCCAGGCTGCAAGTATTGTCATGCTGCACGGGACCTCTTTCCAAGGATCTGGATTCGGCTGACTCGATGCTAAAACTTTCCCCGCGCCCAAGCCCCGAGCTGAAGATCTAACGACTCCATGCCCAACACCCCAAACCCAGCCCTATCAGGGAAACCGATAAATTTCCCCGGCTTGAGGGCCCTAGGCAAACACAGTCTGAAATCCCAAAGACCCAGACCCCGGCATAACCCTAAACCCAAAACTCCTCTGTCAGGCCCCAAGCAGCAACAGACGAGGGCCCACCTGCTGGTAGCCGGTCTCTGCCCAGGTTCGGTAGCGGACGACCTCACTCAAAGTGTTCTTACATGCAATCATGCAGGTTTGCAGATATGTAATTACATATGTACGGATTTGTGCACATCGTATGTTTTGAAGTTGCATGGATGGATGGATGGATGGATGGATGGATGGATGCATCGATAGGCAGGTACACACATCTACACATATACATATATATATATATATATACACACATGCGCATACATTTGATACATATTATGGTTATCTCCGAAAGCTTTTCCTTCAAGTGGTGTTGGCAACCTTGACTGGCTTCAGGGTTCTAGGGTTTTTGTTTCAGGTCTTTCAGCTCTGCTGTCTAGGGCCTAGTTCATGGGAGCTTGGGTGCTCGAGAGTTTGTCCCTTTTGACTTGTAGGGAACTGGGACTAGCTACTTATTTGCTTAAGAAACACCCAAAAAATAAAAAATAATAGTCCCTATATTACCCCCATAAGGAATATATCTTTTACTTTTTGGGGGTTCTTAAGCAAATAGTAGCTAGGAAGTTCGGCGTTCGAGGGCGCAGAACTTTTTTTCAGGGCTTGGGGATGAAGGTTCAGGGCTCCGGTGGCTCCCCAACCGTGACTTTTCCTGAGATCCCGGCCCAGATCTTCAAGTATCCAGCAGAGACACCCGTCATGGCGCTTGTGCCTGACTTGCTTTGCAGGGGCTTGTAGGGTTCAATGTTTTGCTTTCAGGCATTGTATGTAAGACTACTGCATGAGCAAGCGGCCATGGAAGCAAAACCTCACATGTCCAAATTCATGGTGCAGCATCTGGGCAGTGGCACTGCCCTCTTCCTCTACGGCACAAGGCTGCCGCACAAAATCGCCAAACCAACGGCACAACTTCTCGTGGCAACGGCAACATCACGTGACACATCTGCGAAACGGCAACTTGGGTCGCAAGTGGATTGCTTTGCATGCCCCTGGGCCATGTGGAGCTTGCCCAATCATGTTTTTTCTGCCGTGGAAAAAAGCCAATTGAAATCCAGCACCGTCACCACAGCACATCCTTTTTGCACCACGATAAGGAGTCCTTAACGTACCCCTTGTAGGCGGACGTATCGCAGCGCTCACAAAGAAACCCTAAACCCTAAACCCCTACACCCCAAAATCCTAAACCCATAAACCCTAAACCCCGAAACCCCACACCCCAAAATCCTTGACCCCCTAAACCCCTCAAAAAGGCGGCGGAGGACAGGAGAACGGCCTCGGCACAGGCACAAGGCGTAGCCGAGGACCACAGGAGTCGCTGGATCCTCGAACATATTCCACCTCAAGGACAGAGCATAGTGTACGTTGAGATAATCTGTAACATAATATGCTATGATGCAAAATATGAACTGGTTCATGATGTATAAAATATTAGGGTTTAGCGGGCTAGGGTGTTCCACTTCAAGGACATTAGGATTTTCCGGTTGAGGTCTCGGCAGTGTCGTTTGGTATTGTTGCTGAAGGAACAACAATCTGATAGCTGCTGCAGTCTGCTACATGAAAAGGAGCAGGTTCAAGGCGATGAGGGCATGAAGGCATGACACCAGGAGCTGGGTTTCCCCTAAAATCCTAAACACGGGAGCCCCAAAATCTCGTCCAGCTTGCACTGAACTCCACCCCAGAGCAATCCGAAGATTCGGAGACTAGGCTACTGCCTGAACTTGCAAACCCTGGCAGTGAAGTTGAAGGAAAGATCTAGAAGTTATAGGAGTTTGGGAAGTCGGATTTTTCTGGAATATTGACACGATGACATGAACTTCCTAGTCACCACAATACAGCTGCTTGTAAGTGCACAGCCAAAAGGTCTGAACCCCAGTCCCTACCAGCAGATCCCAAGTTTCCAAACCCTAATCCACTACTGTTGATGATATAAATCCTGCATTACCTTAAGGACCTTAACCTATGGGAATTATGGTACATTCCTTATTAGGGGTACTGCAGGATTTACATCATCAATCCTAAACCCTAAACCCCCAATAGATCCTAGAAAGGAGCCCCTTAAAGGTACCCCTATAGATCCTAAACCCATATCATCAACCGTATCCCTGGCCTCCAATGCGACCCGAATCCCTTACCTTTCGGCCCCAAGGGTCCGAAGAGCTCTCAGAGCGCGACCCAGCTTCGAAGATAATCTGCATTCCGAAGACCAATGACATGGCCCCAATGCACTGCATCAGGCAGACGAAGTAGAACCTACAGATGGATTTAAAGTTAAGGGCTTCTGGCTTTGGTGTGGAGGGGCTTTTCCTCTCATGCATAAAAGCCTCTTCTCTCGACGACTAGACTGTGACTTGTCACTACCCGTATGATGATTGAACCCATCGTGTGCTGAGCTTTGGGGTCTTGGGCGACGTGGAGCTGCAGCCTTGTTCCGAGATATCTGGCCACTTTCGGGGTGGTGCTATCAGGTCCAAGGGTCATCCATGCACCCCTGATGTCAAATATGCGATGTCGGTGTGATGGTCTATGAAGCACGGATCATCGGACAAACCACACCAAAGACCACACCTCAGCTAAAGATCAAGGTGGTGATTAGCCTGCAAACATTTATCGGGGCGGGCATGACAATGACTCTGTTTGGATAATCCTTATGTTCATATTGGCAGTGAGACCATGAAGGAGCCACCAACTCTGGAGTTCTGCTTGGTCTGGGGTCTCGGCTGGTCCGAGAAGCACATTTGGTCAATGGAACGCCTGGGTGTATGTGGAAGGACACTAATAAGCAGGCTTCGGGTGTTTCCGGTTTGAAGGGTCTAGGGTTCATGGGCTGACTGTTTTGATAGAGACCTGCTTTTTTGGGGGTGTTGTTGCTCCGGGTTAGGGTTCTGGGCAGCCGGGCGTGGTCTTTCCTTCCTTGCGAAGATTTTCCAGCAGGGTTAGTATATCCGCCTGACATTCTGACACAGATCAATGTTACAGCTGTCTGATCCTAACCGAGGTATAGAAGAGTCAAAACAGAGGAAGACGCAGACCAACTGAAGGCCTAATGTAGGGGCCTTGATAATTAGAATGTGGTTTTGGAGCCCATTATATATACTATCACTATATACTAAGGAGCTCCCCAACACAGTATAGGCAATTGTTGGGGGCCGCTACATTAAACCACCTGTCTTGCGGCCGAGATGCACGTGGGGTGACAGCGTCTGGTCCAGGATGTTGTCCTTGCCCTGGACGAGGTGAACTTCCAAATCAAAGGGCTTGTTTGCCTACTTGTCGGGTATCATGGGGAACTAAAGGTTAACCAAACATACTACCCAAAAAAGGTTAAAGGTTACCTACTCTACTACTAGGTTTGGCTTGGGTAAATGCAATCGGACAACTGCCGACGACTTCTAACCTTACTTGGGAAGCAGCCTCCTCTTGTCGTAGCTGCGATATAGGTCCTAAGCGCTGTTCGAACCTCTACTGCCTCTACAACAAAGAGCGATTCGACGAGGTCACAAAGTAACAACTGCACACCTGTTGTTCCCTTAACAGACACGGCAAACCTCTTAGCTACCTCGGCCAACACCATCATGTCTCGTAGAACCTCCTACTTTGAGGGCAGGGGACTTAGCAAGTAGGTTATAAGTAGAGTTGTAAGTACCCTAAATAAACGACTTAATAAGTCCCCTGCCCCTGCAGGTAGAGTCCTAGAGCCTAAGGCCCTCGACTCGTGGCGTCTGGTTGTTGCCGCCTTCCAGTCGGTCGTCCGGACCAGGAAACGGTAGGCGCCTGAAGTGACTCGGCTTACGGCCTCTTCGAATGGGGGCTTTATAGCGGTGTACATCTTGGCCGTGAGGATTGCGGGATTGTTGCATCATGCTACCCGTTTGGGCTGTCTTTGTATGTACAGCGGTAACCTGTCCTTTGATTCAAGGACCCTACACCCTAAACCCTAGTCAAGGACCTAAGAAGCATGATGTTGCACATCCGAAGCTGTTCAGAGAGCTGGTCTTCTCTCTGAGCGCAGGGCCATCCTGGTAAGAACCATCAGCACTTCTTCTACTAACAATGGCAAGAGCAATCATGTCATCATAGCGCCTGCTATATAACAACACTCGTCATCACATAGACAAACTTAACAACTCAGTTATCACCAGCAATTAGTAAGCCTCCATGCGCGAATTGAAATAGAGGCTTAGATGGAGGCTTTGTACCGCTTTGCTGAAAGAGGCCTCGCTCTCTTCTGATGGAGGGTGCCCGTCCGTCCCGGAACCCTACAGTCCGAACTAAGCCTCTAGATGCACCCTGAACCCTAGACCTCAAATCCACGAAACTGAGTCTTGAAAATCAAAGAGACACATCCCAACCCCAAAAACTCAAGTCCTAAACCCTGAACCCCAAACGCTGTTGGGGCTCTTCACCATTCCAAGAGCCCGGCAATACTCCAAATAGTCCGTGACCTTCCAGCCTTGATCTCTGTGGGGTTTAGGGGCGTCGGTTTTGGGGGTTTAGAGACTATCTGCATACCTAAATGCATGAATCATTATGAAAAACTCTTGTTGTTTACCATCATAATATGATTCATGTTGTTGCTAGTATTGTCACTGTGAGTACTATCATCAGCATTACTATAACCGTTAGAGTTGGTCACCACTGCTCGGACAGCTGCCTGCACTTTACAGTCTTGCACTTTGCGCTCAGTGCAGGGGCGAGTGAACATTCAGCTCCCGACTTGAGCCCTACTGTCACAGGGGGTTTAGGGGTAAGTGCATCTGTCTGGCACAAGCCACCCGAGCGTCTGGCCATGATAGCATTCAACAATGTTGAAGCAAATTCGATCCGCAATCATCTGGAAAGGGAGCATCAGCATGTAGAAATACCTGGCAGTCGAGTTCAGGCAGCTCCTGTTCTCATTTTGCTTCACCCTGCATGCTCAGAATTGCCAAGTGCTGCAGCACAAGCTAGGAACAGCTCCAACTACAGCCATGCACATTGCCAAGGTCGGCGCAAGTAGAATTCGGCATTGTGCTGCGGAATCCTGCCGGCAACAGAGCTCAGATCGTGAAAGCAGAGGATTACCGTTGACAAGAGTCGGTCCTGAAGTTGCTGAGCACCCGGGACTCTTCGAACATCAACATGCAGAACTGGGCGACAGGAAGGACTAGGGTTTAGGATCAAAAGGCCAAAGAGATTCTTGACTCTGTGGCTCAATGACTCTGTGGTTCCATGATGTTGCTGGCAGCAGCCAGGCTGAGAACAAAGCCGCATAGAAGGTGGGCACCACCAAATTGGCAATAGAGTCTGCGGACACGGTGGCCAAGAAGGAGACCATCTCCTGACGGAAGTGTGAGCAACGAAAGTGAAAAGAGAGTACCCTTACATTCGCGAGACATTAACGGAGCCCTAAGGACTACCGTCAGGTACTCACAAGGAAGCCTATTCCTACACTACGATGCCAAGGAATCGCCTCGCCTCGGTCTCGCCCTCCACCTCCAGCTTGTCTTGGTCCTCACGTGCGCCCGCACGGCTCGGACAAAGGGAGCTGGAATGCGGCCTGCGGACTAAACCCTGAACCGCCCCAGACCTTCGAAGCTCAAAGCCCTCACAACCCTAAGCCGCCCTCTGCCCTGAACCGCCCTAAACCCCAAAGTCATCCGCTCCTCGAACTTCTTCTCATCTTCAGACTCCTGTGCAGCTCGCGGCGCACTCAAGAAATCTACACGAACATGGGAAGGAGAGATGGAGTGCAGGAAGCCCTTATAGTAATCCCTAGAATGTCTCTTAGTGTACGCCTTATGACTCATTAGCGTAGGAAAAACGTAATACTACTAATAGTCACAACAAGGATAACAACACCAACTGAATACTAAAACACTAACCCTCATAGTTCCCTGAACCCTAATTAAACCCTACTCTCCGGATAATCCTCATCATCATCAGCTTTCTTGGGCTTCGCAGCGCTCAGAGACTTCATGTAGCCATCCTGGCAGAAGAGTGTGCCACTGACCACAGGCCATCGAAGCAGGGTTTCGGGCATTGGGGGTTAAGGATTTGAGGATTCAGTAGCTTTAGAGTTTAGGGGTTTAGGGTTTTAATAGCTCGTCCATGTCAGGGGAATCATAATTGCAAGAGTTAAGGCTGTACAGGAACTGGGGATCGTAGGAGCCAGGAAGTGCTTTGAGATCGAGCTCCGAGATCGGCTTGGCTCGAAAGCGTGCCGAGGGCACAAAGGTGCGCTTCCACTGCGCCAGCTTGCCCATGACCACGTCCTGCATCAGAAGGATGCAGGCGTCACCAGAAGAAGAATCAACAACGCTTCCAAGACTTTCTCCTTCTCGCAAAAGCTACGAAGTAGTAGGGTTTAGAGATCCGGGCTGAAGGGATTCAGAACTCGAGGGGTTTACTCGGGCACCTCGTTGGGGCCGATGTAGATCCGCTCGATCATCTGAAGACCGATCAAGGCCACGTACATGACCTCAGGGCTGCGAGCTCACGCACGGCTTATGGACAGAATCCTACACGGCAGTTAGGAAGCCTAATTGCGCTTCGAGATCGTGGTATGCTCTTTATTGTGGGTAGTGTCGGATTTTGCCCATCACCACCATGGCCACTCACTTCCAATGCTCAGGCATCGGCCAAGAAGTCAAAGAGCGTCGGTGCCGCGAGCAGCGTGAACACGGCCATGGTCTCGGAACGTCTCTTTTGCTTTGCAATCAAAAATCAGATTTCGCAAAAGGGTTAACGGACAGGATCTTCTTTCCAAAGGATTAAGTACAACGTATAGCAAGGGTGACTGAAACACAAGAAGGAACGTCAAGGGCTCTGGGGATCCAGGAGCTTCTTGTATTCTGGAGGGTTTGGAGACTTTGCGTCTTCCTGGCTTGGGCATGGTCGAAGGGGTCAGAGTTTGAGATTTCGGGGTCTAGGGTTCAAGGGTTAGGGCCTGCAGCGTTTAGAGTTCAGAGCTTGGCGGGTCCAGAGTCTAGGTAGCAACACTGGATAGTTTCGGGTTTAGGCATTGCGGGAACCTTTTCCTACAGTCTACATTTTCAGGTGTGAAAGACCAGGTTCAGTATTTCAGTGTCGACAAACCAGAGCGCCTCATTGATGGAGGGTGCATGGCTTCCGGCATGGGACCATAGAGCCCATGGGCTTAGGGCTTACGGGGATATATGTTGCAACTCTTAGCACGTAATGCGGCTGCCTGCCTCCTCGAAGCACACTCCACTCGAAGGCTCACGGGCAGTCAAAAGTCGGACTAGAAGTCTCTCGATTGGGAATGTAGCTCATCACAACCATGGCTGCCTGTTTCACAACGACCACCCTTCCTACCCTGTTCCCCTTTACTAACCCATAAACCTGCAGGTAGAGGGTCCTGGCCTGGTTGGTGATGGCAATGGGCACCGTGAGCCTGGAAGGCAGAGCTTCCGCGGCGATCCAAACAGTGCGGAAGCAAGTCCGAGACTGACTCGTCACGAACTGACAAGCTAAGACAAGGCTTATGAATCGTGCGCTCTACGCGTGATCTGAGTTTTGCACATGAGCTCGCACATGAAGCTGGTGCAAGCAACTTTGATGCTGATGCGAAGAGCCTCAGCCCACTGTCAGTCTGCGTCAGCTCAATCAATCGACGGACAACAGGAACTTGCCATGCATGGTCATGCTCAAGTCTGCTTGATGCCATCCCAATCTCCGAACTTGACTGTCCCAGAATCAGAACACTTTTGCACCGCAGTGGCAACGGTCGGAGGACGCTTGCTAGGGCCACACCACCGAGAGCTTTCCTTCTGATGTGTGCGCTATTGCAGCTTCCATTCTCGTTGGGCGCATGTCATCCGAAACCCCGCTCCTAGTGTGGTGTCTTCAGGCCTGACAGAAGACAAGGACGAAGTCCATGGATGTAAGCACCCGGCAAAGAGTCCGAGCAGGAAGAACATGATGTTGTCACGATACACGTCGGAGAAGGCTCCGCGCATCAAGCCGATCTGAATCGCCTGTGATGCTTCGTTCTACCGTGTTCTACACATTCTGCTCGTAAAGCTGAGAAAAGTACTACGGCCCCTACGGCAACTGCGACTACGCAAACCACTGCTACCGCGACGGCGGCGACGAGGACAACAGCGGCTTCGAATCTACCCTACTACTAGCCTATTCTACTAGCCTGCTACCAAGACTTACCTACCACTACTGCTGCTCCGGCGACAACGACGAGGATTGCAGCTGCCAGCACATTTACGACGACTACTGCGAGGATGCGTGCTGTTGCCAGCACGACAGCAACCACTGAGGCTTGTGTCCTTCAAAGACCACCCGGTGGTGTAGAGAACAGCGAGATCCCGGCGCTTCCAAGTAAGTTTAACTGTGAGACATAGCATGAACAGCTCGGAACAACAGCAACCGCAACTGGCAACAGCAATGACTGCTAGTTGCAATGCTGACAATAGAAAAGTGCGGCGAATGCACAGCTTTCGGCTGCTTGTGAATCGCATGTCGAGTTCACCACTTCGCACTGTTATTTACATTGTACACAAAGCAGTTTTGCCTAATCCGAAGGCAGTCTTCGCTTCTGCGATTGCTTCGAAACTGATGACTTTGGCACAAGAAACAGCTGATCAACCATAAATCATAACTTCTACGTTTTCGGCATGCCCGAAATCCTGCGAATCATGCTTGCACATGTTGAACGGCCTGAAGCACTTACGATTTACGATATGCCCGAAAAGAGGCCAAGATTGAGCTGAAAATGCCAAGGAAGTCGCCACGTTGCCATAGACCAGCAGTGCGAGGGCGGACCTGTGGGGCAAAGGTTACCAAAGGTTACTAGGAGGCTTATTGAGAAGTATCACACTTGCTGTTACCAACGTTGCGGCGAGTATGCCGCGTCTGAATACAAGTTGTGTTTTAGTTTTTGTCCGGTGGTCACTTCCGTTCTCATTCTGAAAAGCATGGCAAGTACCATGCTGCATGCACCAGCGAGTGGTAGCTGATATCGAAAGTGCTGTGTCGCCCGGAAGTCCATAGGCCGGGATCGAAAACTGAATGCGTTTTGACATGATGAGAAGCGAGAACCCATGCACAGAACTGTGCTGATAGCCTCCCAGGAGGTAATCATACATGAAGTTGTGTCGAAACGATTGAGTACCGAGTACTTGCGTCATAGAAGCGAACTTGCGGAAATTTGTCGGACCTTGTTCAAGCACAGCAGAATCAGCAACACCGACAGTAGTGGATATGTGGATGATGTTCAGGATGATGACGATGACGAAACTGATTATGATGAAGCTTCTTGCCTTGTAACTATGCAGAAGAAGTATAAACGGCTGGCTTCAGAGGATCCAAAGCACTACACATATTGTGCAATGTCGCGTGCACGACCAGCAGCAGCATGTTGGAAACATTTGTCTTCGTACAGACTTACGGCATGGAAGCCCACCAATGTGGTCATCACATCTCTCAATGCCGCTTCCCTCCGCCACGGCACGAGTATGTCGGGAATTGTCCATACGCCGAAAGCCGACTAGTCTTCGAAACGGTCGCAGAATCCGGAAGACATGTCCTGACAATGCGCAAGGCGCCGAATCCTTCCAGGACTACAAACATGCCCGCCTTTTCCACAGGCTTGTAGTGAAGATTGGAGGCAGCTCACTATCCTCCTGCAACTGACTCGCAACGTTTCAGATACTAGCATTACTAGCAGTACTGCCAGTTCATACATGGCTATCAACAGAAGAAATAGTGGTGCTGACAGCCGCAGTCAACAACAACTAAACCAACCGACCCGAAATCTCTAAACCCTAAACCCCAAACTAAGAAACCCCAAACCACTCAACCCTAACACTCAAAACCCTGACCGGCCCCAACCCTCATTACTGCTGATGGACAAAATCCTGCATGACCTTAAGGACCCTAAACCATGGGAATTCTGGTATATTCCTTATATTGGGTCATGCAGGATATTGTCCATCCACAGTATAATAATTAGAATAGGGTTCCTTTGAAGGGCCCGTTTAAGGGCTACTACAAGTTATCAACCCAAAAGAAAGACAAAGACACGGTCGCTGCATATCGGCCTCCTGCTCGGGATTCACTTGAGCCTGGACACAGCCAGCTTTCTCGCAGTGGCTGAAAGTTTTTCGAAGATTATGGTTAGTTAGATAAACCAAGTAAATAAATAAGTGAAAAGTTGTATATATATATATATATATATATATGTGTATATATACACACACTGAATGGGCAAAAGAGATGTGAACTTGCTCGGTGCCTCAGTTTCTGATTCATTTCGCTCTCCCTTCGCCGCTTCTTCGGCCTGCTCCTGCAAGCACCACCGTGAATGAAACAGCTCACTCACGAACCGGGCAGTCAGTATGAGGGTTGTCCTCGTTGATGAGCTCCCTGAGCTTGTTGGCGCCTGACTTGTCCTTCGCGAACTGTGCAGAGCTCAAGGCATCTACACATTTGAGGATCCAGGCAGCGTGACGGGTGAAAAATGCGCAGTCCCATAGAGCCCTGGCGCGAACAGTCCTCGCGCTTGTAGTAGTTGCTGACAGCGGCTGGCACCTTCGATGCCACAGACCCAAAGCAACTGCAACCTGCTATAACACATATTACATAATATAATGTGGTTGCAACAACATCCCTACTCCAAGTACGGGACAGTCAAGTCTGCGTATCCTGCCCTGGACCGGTGGCTAGAAACCCGGCACCCTCAACCCTGAACCTGCATCCTAATCATTCCTAAACCCTCAAGCCCTGGCACTAGAGCCTTAAACCCGAAAACCCTAAACCCTAGAACCCTAAACCCTAGAAGCCTAGAACGCTAAACCCTAAAACCCTAAGCCCTAAATCCTGAAACCCTAAACTCTTAACTCCTAAGCCCAAGTTCCTCGATGCTGGGGCTGTGACCAGCAGCTTCAAGGAGGCTGAGATCGCATAGCCCGCCAGGCAGATCATCAAGGTGCCTCCGGCTCTGGTTTTGCCTTTGGGCCTTCGACTATGGCTTCCTTGGGGGTTCATGGGTAGTTGTAAGAGAAGATATATGCAGGGTAACTATAAATACAACGCATATTAGTGGACGTATAACTCCACTTGCAACTACCCATGAACCTCCAAGTATGTCTTCAGGGGCTCTCGAAAGCAATGGCGATTGCTACTAGGGCCCGCAATTTACATTGGGGGTTTTCGTTTTTTGTGGCGGAGCTCAGGCTCCGTCCTCGAACAAACCGTTCCCAAGATCGGACTGGAGATTCGGAAAGGCCGTGCCAGGCTGAAAGATTAAGCGCGCTGATCCACATCATACTTATACACGGACATATATCTGTATGTATGTATGTATGTACGGACGGACGGATGTATGTATATATGTGCGCATGTGTGCATGACTGAATGTATGTATGTATGTATGTACGCGTATGTGTGTAATTATGTATGAATGTATGTAAGTAACTAAGTATGTATGTATGTATGTAAGTATACGTAAATATAGGTATTGGAATACAAACACAGAGACAGAGAGAGAGAGAGAGAGATGTAGATAGATAAACAGAGTGACAAGCAACAGTCGATATCCTACAGTGGCATATGCAAATGCCAAGTCTGACGGCAGTATGTTGTTAGCGCTGAAGGTGCGGAAGCACTGAGGCACCAGTGGATCCTCAAACAATCTTCGGCTACGGGAGTTCCAGCCCTAGTTCTTACTAACCATGTACGGTGATGCACGCCAGCCTGGCCTATCCGTCCCGTTCGGCGCTCACCAAAACTGGTGGCACTTACTTCGGTCTCCGGGTCGTAGGAGCCTTGGTGAGCGTATGGCACTGGCACTATCTGGCACTAGAAAGTTCTCGTCTGATGTCCTTGAGACTGAAAATGGAGGCCACTTCTACACCAGCTGAGATCACATCTCAACTCTCAACTCCAAACCTCTGACACACAACCCTACGAGCGATGAGTCCCGGGCTTGGAATCATCTCCAAGATGCCCAAGAAGCACTCTTCCTGCAAAGGGCAGACTTACAGGATTTGAATCTTGACCGGATCCCTTCAGGCCCCGATGACTGTTGCAACTGCTGCTGCTTCTAATAGGGCTAGTACTGCTACCAGTAGTAGTAGTAGTAGTAGAAGAAGAAGAAGTCGTGGTAGTGGTGGTAGGAGTAGGTATAGGAGTAAGCGTCGGAGTAGGAGTACCACTACGACTCACGACGACGACGTCGACTAACTATAACTACTACTACTACTACTACTACTACTACTACTACTACTACTACTACTACTACTACTACTACTACTACTACTACTACTACTACTACTACTACTACTACTACTACTACTACTACTAACTACCAACTAGCTGGCTACTGCCACTAGATGTCGGTGCAGCACCATGACCATCATATTTATATAAGAACAATGGAACAACATACATTGCTTGAGCTGCTGCTGTCGTCGCTCTCGCCTATAGTAAAAGCCAGAAAGTTGGAATATGATTATCCTAAACCCTTTATGGTAAATTACAAGGTATCCTACCATGAAACCATATTCCAACTTTCTGGAGTTCCCTTTAGGATGCCCAGTAGTACCCCTTAAAGGGACCCTTATAGTACCCTTATCGAATTCTTAAAGAACCCTCAAAGGGACCCTTATAATTCCCTGTAATTGCCAGTGCAATCGGCGAGGGACCTTGAGGCTCCCTTGGGGGCAATTTTGCCACGGCAGCCCTGGCAGAGTGGGTTTAGGGTTTAGGGTTTAGGGTTCAGGGTTTGGGGTTTAGGGTTTGGGTTTAGGGTTTAGGGCTCAGCTTTGACTTTGAACTTCCGCTGGCTGAAAGGACTGCTCTAATGCAACAGAACTGAGAGTTGCCCGGGTTCCTTAGTAGCCCCATTCTAGTAAGGGGACCCTTTTTCCTACTATTCGGCTTTAAGAAGGGGATCCTATGCTAAACTATGACTGGCATAAGCATGCTACTCAGGAACCTAAATCCCCATAGTATAGATCCCTTGAAGAACCCTTTAAGGAACCCTCAAAGCAAGAGACTTGTCGGGGGTGCGGTTGCCGGCAACTTCTCCCTGTAGGAGCCCAACTCCTGGCAGTGGGGCCAGGGCAGCGCCCCGCTGATATAAGGGCCTTATAAGGGTTACTATAAGGGACCTATAGGGTTACTATAAGGGACCTATAAGGGTGGTATAAGGGACCTATAAGGGTAGTATAATATAAGGGCCTTAGTAATTAGAATAGGGTTTTGGGGCCCATTACACTATAAGTATAATAAGGAACCCCCCAAAATAGTATAGGTTATCATTACGGCCCCTACATTACTTGCAACAGCACAAGGGGCACAGGCTTCAGGATCCAAGGTATGCAAACCCTAAACCCTATGATAGGGGTCTCGCTTTCAGGCTTTCAGCTTCAGGGTCATAATAAAGGGGGCCAAATAATTACCAATATTATGGTGAGGGTTCCTTAATATTATACTTATAGTATAATGGGCCCAAAACGCTACTCTAACTATTAAGGCCCCTACATTAAGAAACCTAGCTGCGACACTTCATGCCGCTGTCCTATGAAGACCGGGGTGAAGAAGATGGAGAACACCATGATGAATGCCCGAAGCTGTGGCCTGACGTGCGCAGAGATCTCGGAACAGCAATCGCAATAAGTCCAACAAGCCAAGACTTTCACACTAAACATAACTGTAGCTATGATACTGCTAACAATCGAAGACAACTTGAGCATGGTCATAGCAAAAGCAGAGCTCTGCTTCGTCTGCTGCGCACAAGATCTTGAGAGCTCGGCACCGCGAACAGCGTCCAATGGCGAAAGTCGATCAACCTGGCTACGATAAGTGCTGCTAAAGCGGTTACTCGTAGCGGTCTTCAAGCCCAGTTAGGGGTTTGGGTTTAGGGCCTGGGTCTTTGGGTCTTGCCGCCTGGTTCATTGTGCTCTCTGCAGACAAGGGAGTTTCAAGTTGCAAGTTGATGGTGTCGACGATCGGCCATCTCCACTGTCACCACAAGCTGATGGTGAGCGACTGAGGCGCGGCTATATCCAAACCCTACAGCAGTATGATCTACCTTCCCCTTCCTCTTCATATCCTGCGTCCGATGCGCATGATATTGTCTTGTGATTGTACAGTTGCTTTGAACATCGGTACTGGCGCTCTGCATTTAGGAGCATGAGCGTTGCTGCCATGGGACACCACCAAAGCAACTAAGCGAACTTTCCAGCTGCTATAGGGGCCTTAATCATTAAAATAGGGTTTGGGGCTACATTATATACCACAAGTAAAATAAGGAACCCCTGAAACCCTTTCTAATTATTGAATAATTAGAATAGGGTTTTGGGGTTCCTTGTTTTAAATGTTAATTATTGAAGGCCCCCCATATTGGCGCGCGCATGGCCTTGGAGGGTAGGAGAGCCGGCACATAAAGCGGTGGTAGCCTGGACAGCCGACTTACCTTTGGTTAGTAGGGAATGGAAGAATGGTTAGGGTTTAGGGTTTAGGGTTTAGTAGTAATAGTAGTTATAATGGTACCCATTCCTCCATTCCCTACTAACCAAAGGTAAGCCGAGCCATGCTGACATGCACTCGACCTCTCGGATCTACTCTGCTGCAAACCAGCAGTCGCGGCGGCAGTTAGTTCGCAGTGGCTGTGAGGTAGTAGTAGTAGTAGTAGTAGTAGTAGTAGTAGTAGTAGTAGTAGTAGTAGTAGTAGTAGCAGGAGTAGTAGTAGTAGTAGTAGTAGTAGTAGTAGTAGTAGTTGTAGTAGCCGAAGCAGCAGTAGTAGCAGCAGCAGTGGTGGTGCCATCTGAAAAAGCCGAATCGGTAGTGGTAGCAGCAGCAAGAGGAGTCGTCTCAGCAATGGCTGAAGCTCCGGCCCCACAGCACCAGGACCATAGCCACACCTGCATGCTTTCGGCATGCACAATGCGGCTGAATTCACAGCTTCGGAACCCACGCTGCTGCTTATGATGGCTCGGGCCCTGACTTAGCACACCCATGCACAGGTAGAATCCCACATAGAACCTGAGCGATCCGCAAGACTTCAAGTCCACATGTCATGTGCTGACTACTGCTGCTACAACACGAACAACAACTACCGCTACGACCTACTACTACTACTACTACCACCACTACGACTACGACGACGACGACTACTACTACTACAACTACAACTACTACTACTACTACTACCACTACGACTACGACTACTACTACTACTACTACAACTACAACAGCTGCTACTACTACTACTACTACTACTACTACTACTACTGCTACTGCTACTGCTACTGCTACTGCTACTGCTACTGCTACTGCTACTGCTACTGCTACTGCTACTGCTACTGCTACTGCTACTGCTACTGCTGCTGCTACTGCTACTGCTACTGCTACTGCTACTACTACTACGACGACGACTACTACTACTGCTACTACCGCCACCACTAATACCACTACGACGACTACTCCTACTGCTACTCCACACCTATTCCTACACCTACTCCTGTTCCTACTGCTACTGCTACTGCCGCTGCTGCTGCTGCTGCTGCTGCTGCTAGTCCTGCTACTCCTACTACTCCCACTGCCATTAACACTACTACACGCTGCTCATCCTGCAGGAAGAGATTTTGATACTACACGAGATGTCCGACCCTCTTGCAACTGCCCACACCCCAATGTGTCAGCATCGAGTAGTACCGGATTACATGACCAGCTACCAACTGCCCACGACGGAGGCTGCAAGTATGCCTCTGTAAGCCCGCTGCTCCATTGGGAACGCGAAATAGACCATGACTTCGAAGTGGGTCATGGGATAGTAGAGCACCGAAAGCCTCGGCCAGGACAAGGTCCCGAGACGAACGTGGATGAATTCCTGCAAAACTGTCCCAAACTCTACTTGGGCTCATATTATTAAGGCCTCTATATTTCCATAGAACCCTGATCACAACGCATATTTTACT